CTTGATCCCCTCAGGCTGATTCCTCCTGGCCCGCGTATTCATCCAATGCTTCACAATCTTGGCAACGAGCTCGTTGTCCTTGACGTCGGTGGAGCCTCGCACCATTGCAAGGCGGAGGGCATGTGGGAGCTTGACGTGAAGGGCTCTTCGATAGTCGCTTCTCAGCCACCGTCGATCTCATCCTTCGCAGCTCCCATGACGCGAGTGTAGTCTACCACGAAGCTTTCGTCATCATCATCCCAGCCCAATTGATGGAACTTATCCTTGAGGACTTTGAACCGTATACGCACCAAGTCATCGGGATATTTCTGTGAGACGTTATTGAAGGCTAACCAACTCACCTCATCTGCCTTGAAGCGACTTCCCAAATACTGGATGAAATCGTGCCGTAGGACTTCGACTTCAGCCGGTGACCCTTGCATAAGAGAGGCCTCCCGCTGAGTAGCGTTAAGCAGCTTCATCGCGTCATGAAGCTTGAGATTTTTAGCCTGAAACGATTTGATGAGCTTCCTCAAGGGCATAAGGAACCTCTTGAGCATACGTGTATGCTAAGAATGTGTGGAGAAAACGTTTTACCGGTCTTCGACTTCTCACTAACTACGAAGACTCTAACGGGAAGACTTACTTGTTACTCATACTGTACCAAAATGAAACTGATGTGAATCAGTATAATACAGAATGTATTATCGGAGAGTACCGACAAAGGGCGTCATAGACAGGACTCTGCACTCTCGCAAGACAGGGTAATCAGCGGGAAAAATCTACTACGTTTTGGGAGTCTCAAGTTTGGACTGATGGGACTCGCCGAGTCCGGCTCGGAGGTCGTACCTTTGGTTGAGAAGGCGAGGTGCTATGAAGATGGAAAACTTCGGTGACTGGTTTGTACAAGTTCTAATACACATCTATGATGACTCATCACAGATGTGTCGGGGGATCCCCTCTCATCACTGATGAGAAGTAGATCAACCCTGCGAAGCTCACATTGGCAAAACCAATTTGGCAGAGGACAATTTCCCTTCGCACAGTAGAATAGAAATCACACTACATCACTACATAGCATCGCACCCTACTCTTCCTCCTGTGTACGTAATGAAGGTCGGACCATACTCGTCTCCCCTTAATGCGGTAGCATTCTGCTAGAGTTAACTCTACAGGGCGTAGTATGCTTAGGAAAAGGGTAGCGCGGTTGAAACCGTGCCAGAAAGTTGTCTTTCGGCGAAGCCTGATTTGGGACAGCGATTGACACAATCGCAGCGATTGAATCGCTGCCGGCACAACGGACAACCTCAGTCCTTCCAGCTGCCGAGCTAGTCACATAAGCCAGACTGTCTTGGCAACCTGGAGTAGTATATGTGTTAAGCGTGATATATATATTTGTTAGCCGATGTAGGTCCTAGGGGCACTCCAGATAGCAAGCTTCAGTGGCTTACGACAGAAGCTTACTATCCTGAGTATCCTGAGTGTACCTTGCGTGTCATCCTCCACAGTGCCCAGATGGCACTGGTGAGTCGACACGCGCCCTTCCACAACTCGGAGGCTAGGGGTTTCATGCCCACTGATACTACCAAACTCCGAACTTCATATCCACTTGTATTGCCAAGTGGCCCACACGGAGTGGGTAGTAGGTTACTAAGTATTCGGTACTGCCTCTATGAGAAGCATCCGCTATACGGTCAGGTATCCTTCTGAGAATGACATTCTCACAATCGTG